CCGGCCTCGGCGTCCCCTCGGCGTCCCCTTCACCTGTGCAGCGGCTCTGGGAGGGGCTGGCACCCTGACGTCACCTTCCCCCGCAGCCAGAGCCATTTCCGGCCCCGGGGGCGGAACCCTACAAGCTCGACCCCACCGGCAACCGACCAATCCTGTCCCGACGTCCCGTCCCGCCCACAGCCAAGAGACCAATAGGACGCCCCTCCACGCTCCTAAGGTGGGTCCTGCTGAGGTCCAGAGGCTGGGCCGTCCAGGGCACCCGGATGCCACGCCAGTAACCTGCAGCCGCATTGGGTCAAGGAAGTCAAGGCTGCCCTATAGCCAGGTACCCCAGAGGCCTTACACAGGGCTCTGCCCCAGGGTCCTCACACCAGCCCAGGGAAGAATTAAACACTCTCATCCTTTGAAGCCCGAAATATGAGGCTGAAGTTGTGTGGAAAATGTGTGAACTACAGTGTGGAGTGGGAGACTGTGGACCTGGGGGGAGAGAGAGGGAGAGAGAGAGACAGAGAGAGACAGAGAGAGACAGAGAGAGAGACAGAGAGAGAGACAGAGAGACAGAGACAGAGAGACAGAGACAGAGAGAGACAGAGACAGAGAGAGACACAGAGACAGAGAGACAGAGAAAGACAGAGAGACAGAGACAGAGAGAGACAGAGAGACAGAGACAGAGAGAGAGACAGAGAGGGAGAGAGACAGAGAGGGAGAGAGACAGAGAGACAGACAGAGAGACAGAGAGAGAGAGACAGAGAGGGAGAGAGACAGAGAGACAGAGAAACAGAGAGACAGAGAGACAGAGAGAGACAGAGAGAGAGAGAGACAGAGAGTGTGTGTGTGTGTCTGTGTCTGTGTGTGTCTGTGTCTGTGTGTGTCTGTGTGTGTGTGCATGCTACCCCACCTTCCCCCTGCAACCATGGTGAGGGCTGAGTGCAGGCCGAAGTCGCCAACAACACATTCAGAATGGTCAGAAGCAGCTGCCTTTAATTGGCTGGCACAGGACAGCAGAGCTCTCAGCTGGGAAACATAGGGCCTGACAGCTAATACATGGCAGACTTTTACAGTAACATTCCGAAGATGGGCATCCAGCCACTTGATACCAATGAGCTCTCTGCCACCTCCCTGCCAGCATCTGGGACAGACTGGGTGGGACATTGAGAAGGAGCCAAAGTTCAGAGCCAGGAGCCAACAAAACAGCATGGAAGGTGATTCAGGCAAGGCTAGAGAGAGAGCAAGGTGCATTGTCAGTAGGTTCTTCACAAACGACGCCTCACCCTCCATTCTCCAGGTGGTTGCCCCCACCCTTACCCCAGGCCCTTTCTTCCAGCTCAGCCCTGAAGAGCCATACTCAAAGCCCCTTCTAGGTTCTACTGATCTCATGAGTTACAATCTAATCTAGAACTCTCAATGCTTAAAAACCAAAAGTAACTCCTTCTTTATTCAGGTGGGTCAACTCAACAATTTATTCAAACTGTTATTGGTCTTAGATTGGACCCTCAGAGGTCAAGTCTATCAGACATGAGAAAGGAACAAGGGGGCCCAGACAGGGGGAGGGACGTGCCTAGACCACAAATCCCCCAGTGACGGTGCTCGGGCCAGAACTTTCTTCCTGCAAGTGATGATTATAAAACTGAAATACAGCCAAGGCGGTGTGGTTCAGTGGTTGAACATCGACCAATGATCCAGGAGATCATGGTTCAATTCCAGGGTTGCAGGCTCAATCCCTGGTGGGGGGCATGCAGGAGGCAGCTGATCAATGACTCATCACTGATGTTTCTATCTCTATCTCTCTCTCCCTTCCTCTTTCTGAAATCAATACATATTTAAAAGAAAAAAAATGAAGTACAAATTTCTAACGGCCTGACATCTTCATTTTAAGGGCTCACAGGCACTTCAATTTCAATGGGTTCAAAACCAAATGAGGCTAATGAATTTTGTCTCTTCTTTCTAATACCCATTTCTTTATCTTATTAAACTGCAATGCTGACCAGTGCTGCCGACTACATGACTTTAATGTCAATATCTAAAGTTTCACCATTAAATGCAACATTTTCTATAGTTTTTCAGTAGATACCAATTATCAGGTTACAGAAATTTCTGTTCTTAGGTTGCTAAGAGGTTTTTCTGTTTTGTTCTTTATAAGTACTGTCTTTTTCTTATGAGAGTCTATGTTCCAAAAGGACAGGGCGGGTATATTTTATTCACCACTACATCACTGTTGTCTAGCACAGAATAGGTACTCGCCCCAGTCCAGATTAAGGGAGTCAGTAGCTGAGGGATGATGTGAGGAATCTACGTCAACAAGCATCTGACATAGATCCACGATCAAAATCACAGGTCTATAGTCAAAACTTCTTGATGTGGGGGAGGAAGGTTGGGGGGGCCGGGTAAAAAAGGTGAAGGAATTAAAAACCACAAATTGGCAGCTACAAAATAGTCATGGGGATGTAAAGTACAACATAGGGGATGTAGCTAGTAATATTGTAATAACTATGTATGGTGTTAGGTGGGTACTGGGGGAATCACTTTGTTAAGTTATATAAATATCTAACCACTATGCTATAAACCTGAAACTAACATAATATTGAATGTCAACTTTAATTGAAAACAAAACATGCCCAGCCCGGTGTGGCTCAGCGGTTGAGCATCGACCTAGGATCTAGGCGATTGGGGTTCGATTCCCGGTCAGGGCACATGCCTGGGTTGCAGGCTCGATCAATGACTCTCTCATCATTGATGTTTCTCTCTCTCTCTCCCCCTCTCCTTTCCTCTCTCTGAAATCAATAAAGATATATTTAAAAAAAGAAAAGAAAAGAAAAGAAAACAAAAACCTTGACACAGGCATTCAGAGTCCCCAACACTCTGGGAATACTACTTTTCCCCTTCACACCCACCACACTTCTCCATCTGTGTGTCTGATGTGCTTCCCCACTCTATCTATGCATATTTAATTACGTACTCTCATTCCTTGAAGCCCAGACTAAATGAACTGTCCTCCAAGAAACCTTTCTGGATCCCAGAAATTCTCACCAGAGTTCCCAAACCACGTAAGGCACCTTTTATTTCTCCTATGAAGGTAGCTAAGAGTTATGTGTGGCCACTACAACTTTTCCCACCTGTTACACTGTGAGCCCCTCAGAGGTAGAAATAGCACTAAGTTACCTGACTATCCCACATGGAGCCTTGTCTGTAGGGCTCAATGAACATCAGGCAAATGAAAGAATAAATGAAGAAGGGAGAATGAAGGGAAATATTGCTTTGGTCAGTAGAAGTCTGTTACTGGGTACTTGCTCCACCTTATGGTTTCTATCCTCATAAAGACACCTGTACTAGCTGGGGATCACCTGCCTTGGGAAGAATCCTCAATGGGGAATGAGAGGAGGAGGCCTCTTCCAAAGGACGAAGAGTTTCTAGAGCCTCACAACCCCGAATCTCCAGGGTTAGGGCGCAAGAACCCATTTTAAAAAAACACCCCACAAAATCCAGATGATTGTGATTTTGATGCAATCCCCATCCCCCAAGTCCATTAGGCACCCAAGGTCTCCTCAGTTCCTAAGAGCAGCCTCCCCTCCTCTCAGTAAACAGCTCTTTTCTGTCTCAGTCTGCTGTTTGGGACACTGGCACATAGGGCAGATACAAACTGTAAAACCATGTGGTAAGTCATAAAATAAGACAGACCAGAGAGGAGATACACTGAACCAAGTCTTCAAAGACAGGGATAAGCAGGTACTCAGGCAATGCTTACCAGCTGTACCCAGTGACAGCGCGGCATTGTGCAGGAGTGCACTCGCACGCAATGAGAACCCTATTGGTATGAATATAGTGTGGTTCCCATTATAGGTGGCATCTCCTTCCCCCCGCCCTCAAAAGGCAGGAGAGAGGCTCAGATACCTGTCAATGAGTGAATCCCGCATGCTGGTAGCAATGGTGCTAGGCTGGGCTTCGTTCAGCTTGAAGACACTCTCCACCACTGAAAGCTCTGTGCTGGT